GAGCCAGCCACTCGCCACTGCCCTTGATCTTCCTGGGTCAGACGCTGCTGGGACGCCGCGTCTCCCTCATTCAGGCGTCGCTTTACTGGCGTAGCTTCAACTGTATCCATGTCCGAAGTAGCGTCGGACCCGATGACTGGTTCAGCCTTGTGCTGGGTTTCCATTTGAGTCGAACGCCGTGGCGTTGGAGTGCCCACAACCGTATTTTCATCTGTGCCTGCGTCTTGCTTAGGTGTCTCCGTCTTTTCCTCGCTGGTCGCCACTGCATGAGACGCCTCCTCTCCTGCCTTCGACGCCGCGGCCCTCTCTGCTTCCTCTTCATCCATGAGCAATTCACTGTGGTCGGCATTTGTTGCTCGACTTGCTGCACTGGCATAGGAACGAGTACAGTCCGCCTGCTCATGCCCAAAAGCGCGACAACCAGCGCACCTGGGCACCCTGCAGTCGCGACGAATGTGTCCCGTGTTCCGGCAACGCAGGCACAGCGGTGCTCTTCCTGGCACGACCCCAGTGCCATGCCGCTTCCGAGACGCATCTGGTGGGGTATGCGATCCGTAGTAACGCCTTCTTTGAGTAGTAGCCGAACGAATCTTGTGGTTGACTCAACTCCTTCGAAGTCTTTGTCTCTCCACTTGTCGCTGATAACTTCTTTCACTTCACCGTACTCCCGGAAAGCACGCCGTACAGTCTCTGCGTTGACGTCAAAGGCTACCCAATGCAACTTGAGACGCACCTCTTGCCTTTCTGGGTCGACGACGACGCAGGGCCGGTCTTTCACGGAGAGTAGGCCAGCGTCCAGAACTATCTTCTTGGCTTCATCTGTCTTCATGTTAAGAAGCCAGACGTGCGACATCTGATACGCTCCTATGCCGCTTACCTCTTGAATGATGCCTAGTTCCTTGAGCGGCTTTCGGAAGTCGTTAATCCCGTACGGACGCGCTGCGATGTCGCAGTGCAGAACCAACGTGCGTCTGAGTCCTTCTCCTGTGGGCAGTGGTGGCAGAATTAAACGGTAGTCCTTGGGAAGCGATGTGCACGAGAAACCGCGGCCAGCGTCGGCCGCTGTCACAGCTCTTGACGAGCCTGCCATCCTGCGTCCGCACGCGTCGGTGACCAGAAGCAGAATGACACTGCTCCACACCAACACGACGTTAATAGTGCGCTAAATACTTAGTTGGCATACAAACTTAAGGTTCAACTTAAGTTATGTTTGTCGTGTACACAACATACACAAGACACGTGTTTTCTTTACTCTGTTAGCAATTACCTTTGTAAATAGCTTGCATACTACAGAGAGCAAGCTGATCGGCCTGTAATTCTTCAAGTCCTTGTCATCTCCTTTCTTATGTATTAAGATGATGTTCGCGTACTTCCAAGACTCTGGTATTCTTCCCGTCAGGAGACAACTCGTAAACAGGGTGGCTAGTTTTTCTAACACAATCTGTCCTCCATCTTTCAGCAGATCTGATGTTACCTGATCCTCACCAGCAGCATTGCCTCTTTGCATGCTCTCCAAAGCTTTTCTGACTTCTTCTATCATTACTGGTGGGGTGTCATCTGGGTTACTGCTTGTTCTTATAGTATTAAGGTCGTGGTTGTCTCGGCTACTGTACAGATCTCTGTAAAACTCCTCCGCTATTTTAACTATCCTATCCATATTGGTAGTTATTTTGCCTTCTTTGTCCCTTAGTGCATACATCCGCCTTTTGCCTATGCCAAGTGTCCTCTTCACTGCTTTGACGCTTCCTCAGTTTTTCAGAGCGTGCTCAATTCTCTCCATGTTATACCTTCTTACATCGCATACTTTACGTCTATTAATCAACTTCGAAAGCTCTGCCAGTTCTATTTTGTCTGTTGTACTTGACACTTTCATGATTTGACGCTTCTTAATTAGGTTCTTCGTTTCCTGGGAAAGCTTGGCGGTGTCCTGTCTAGCTACCCTGCCTCCAACTTCCACTGCACACTCCGTGATGATACTCGTCAGATTATCATTCATTGTATCTACGCTAAGGTTGGTTTCCTCACTAAGATCCGAGTACCTGTTCTGCAGCGACACTCTGAATTCCTGTACTTTCCCTCTCAGTGCTAGCTCAGTGATTGGCTTCTTGCGTATCAGTTTCTGTCGTTCCTTCTTCAAGTCTAGGCAAATTCGAGACCGTACCATTCTATGGCCACTGCATCGTACCTTGCCAACCACTTCCACATCCTGCACGATTCCTGGGTGTGCAGTCCTTATAAAGTGTATTTCGTTCTTATTTTTGCGATTAGGGCTCCTCCATGTCCACTTGCGGTTTTCTCGTTTTCGGTAGAAGGTATTCAAAATCCGCAAATTATTGCGTTCTGCGAATTCTACTAGCAGCTCTCCTCTGGCGTTTCTAGTGCCAATGCCATAATATCCTACTGCCTGGTCTCCAGCCTGCTTATTCCCTACCTTTGCATTAAAGTCGCCCATCACTATACTATACTGTGTTTTTACCTTACTCATTGCCGATTCCATGTCTTCATAGAAGCTTTCAACTGGAGCGTCATCATGGCTGGTTGTAGGCGCGTAAGCCTGTACTACCTTCATCTTGTATCTTTTATTCAGTTTAATTACAATACCTACCACCCTTTTATTAATGCTATAGTATTCCTCTATGTTGCCAGCTATGTTTCTGTGAATTAGGAACCCCACTCCCAGTTCTCTTTTGTCTGCCAAGCCCCGATAGCAAAGGACGTGCCCATTCTGTAGCACAGTATAGGCCTCATCTGTCCTCCTAACCTCACTGAGCCCTATTATATCCCATTTAACACCCTCTAGCTCCTCGAATAGTACAGCTAGACTTCCCTCACTAGATAAGGTTCTAGCGTTAAACGTTGCCAAGTTCAGGTTCCAATGGCGGCCTGTCCGGATCCAGAGATTCTTAGCACCCTCTGCTGCGTTGCAGATCTGACCGCCGCCGTGGTCAGTTGCTTCGCAGCTGCTGGGGAATGAGGGCCGTGAGTTATTTGCATGTGGGAGGTAGTGGCCAGATACTGCACCAGGGTGACCAATCCTTCTCTGGTGAGAGAGTGCGTTCCCGGCGGTGGTTACCGGTGAGGCCGCACCCTAGGCCTCTTAATGCAGTTCCATCAACACGCGGATTTTTTTTAATCCGGTTGGGAACTGCGCGGCACCGGGATTTGAACCACGGACCTCTTTCATGTGAGGCGGATGCTCTAACCACTACTCCATAGCCGCACCCATATATATATATATATATATATATATATATATATATATATATATATATATATATATATATATATATATATATATATATATATATATATATATATATATATATATATTGAAATAGCGTGTAAGCTGAGCTTATACCTAAATCTGCACACAAGGACATAACGAAGTCTGAGGCGTTTACCGAGAGCAAATTTCTTGCAGACAAAGAGAGCGTCTTTCTTGCAGACAGCCTCTTCAAAGTAATAATTAAATACTTAAACAAAGTATCAACGTTTTACATTGCCTGGTTCACTTATTTTTGTGGCAGACAGCCTGTCCAAACTGTTAATTAGGCACTTAAACAACGTATTAAAGCCAGAAAACTTGTGATAGTAAAACGCACGTTTACAGCATATGGCGAAGGCTTGTAACGTCTTGGAGCCAGTTTGGCCACCTGGACACCCAGAACTATACAAGCCCGAGGTCTTGATTTGGACCAATAAATATATAATATCAATTGAATTTATCGCAGTCACCACTCTAATTTGTTTCGATGGCATTTCTTTTACACGGTATGAAACACCAAGTAATACAGCTATTTGTCTGCTGTTTTTGCTGAATATGTAACGCCAGCCCCCTTGGCTCAGCTGTGTTCCCGGGAGAGAACCAGTAGTGTGTTGAAACCAGCACGGAAAACCACCAAGTACCCTGCTGGAACCAGTACAACCAGCAGCAAAAGGGAAGTTTAACTGTTGGTTCCACCAGAAGCCAGCACAAAATTAACCAGTACAAACTAGCAGCTTCCAGCAGAAACCCAGCCGGAAAGTTTCCCCTGGGACAGCTTTAGAAAATACGAGTCGTTTAGCTTCTTCATTTGTCATCATAATTGCTCTTTCGGTTACCAACAACACGTCGAACCATCTTTTAACAAACGTATTGACTGATATGTCTCATTGTCCATTATAATGACTATAAGTCAACGACGTTGTCATTTCAATATGCCAGGGCCTTGCCCGATTCTTGTGCTATCTTCAAAGAATTCAACTTTACGACTGCACTGTCCGTTCATTCCGTGCATGAAACATCGGTTATATGCGGTACTTTCCCGCCAGCTCGCCTAAGTTCTACTTTTTGACGCAACGTGAACCAGGTGCCATCCACTTCTGAGCTGCCACGCAAGGCGACATCTAGAACGAGAGATTTCAACTTACAACGTCTTGAATGCGACGAGCTTTTGCGTGGTGCCGGTCGACGCAAGGTGAAATGGCAGTTCAATGAATAAAACACGGCTTACGAAGCTTGTGGTAACTGCTTGTACTCAAGTAAAGTGCGAGTTGAGAACGTTGTCGACGAGCGAGGCAACTTGCCTTGTGAGCGCGAAGCAGACGATATTATTGCTGTGCAACTTCCAAAATGAAGTACATAACTTGTGCGTTTTAGTTATATAATATTAGTTTTTTGACAATTTAAAGATGTTTGCATTAGTTTTTAATTAATTGTGTTGCAAAACTTTCTTTTTGTTTATTTTTTACTTTTAGTCTCAGTTGCAAAAGATAGCAGCACTTCCTAAACAAACGTGTACACACAAATAATTTTAAAATTTCTTTAATAACAAGTAATACAAACCAAGTAATAACAATATTTATTAGGTTTTCGTTAGGTAAAGCAAGAATGCAATGACTTTTTAGGCTGAAAAAATTACATAAGTTGTTTGCAAGACAGAAAAACATATCCTCCGAGATTTAAAAGCAAAACGCAAAGAACGCTCGCCAGGGGCATGTGATGCCGATCGTCTTCGGCTGCTCTCTTTTTTGCCAGCAAGGCGCTACGGTTTCGTATTCACGCCGCCTTCGTGCTAACCTAATTACGACAAATCACCTTCCAATAACCGAAGATAGGCCGATAAAAATAAGCGGCAGAGTTGCGCCACTCGTGGCTGTTTGCAAAGTTCCGCGCGTCTACACTAGAGAGACAAAGTGTTGCCGAAGCATTGAGAAGCAGGTATGTGCGTGTACTACGTGTGTTCTACGTGTTACCGGCAGCGCCGGTTGTGATCACGCCTAGCGGTTGCAGGTTGCCGCCTCGTCATGGCCTTGTCGGATCAGCTCGTCGTTTGTTTTACGCCGTGCGATGCTCGTGCCTATCGCTACTAGGGGCATTCGCGTGCTCCACTGCTCAATTGAGCGTTTCCTGCCTGCGCGGGGATTGTTGACACGCGCCATCGGAGACTGCAAGGCGTGGTTCGTGTGCTGCCTCATTCATTCGCATGGCATCGCCGTCCCGGTCGCCGCTTCATTTCTCTTTCCAGCTTTCGGCCCAGCTTATCTTGCGAATGTGAGCCCCATTCGGCGCGTGAAGCGGCCCGTATTTTCGCTTGCCGATCAGATCGGGTTAACGTAGCTAGGTGTGTGTGTATGGTATGTGAACCTAGCGGCGTAGGCGAAACGAGTGGTAGTTTCGTAGTTTTCGAATAGCGTACGCAAAGTTAGCGGGTGTAGCGTTTGTGTATGGGTTCCGTACGAGTTCTCGAATAGCGTTTGTCCCCCGCAAAAGCTGACGCACGCTCCAGTCACCGCAAAAGGGCTTTGCGGGCAGCACGCTATTTCGGATTCTATGCGGGTGAAACGGAAACGCTAACGTCGGGTAGCGTTATGACGCATGCGCAGTGGTAGCGATCGCAACGCAAAGCTTTGGGGTATGCGATTCGAGAACTGTCATACTGCACTATTGTATAGTGGCCGGTGCTCGGGCGGTGCATGCGTTGTCGACAAAGAATGCGTTCAAGTTCAAACCGCATGGTTTCGTTTTCGGTGGGTAAACCTGTCAACTTTTGTGGCCTTGGTGGCATGAAAGTGGCTATGCCCTTTTCCCTACAGGGGACCTCTGAAAAGAATGTCAGGCGCCAAGCCGAACGTGGTCTTCGTGCTGGGACCTCCCGGTTCGGGAAAAGGAACACAGTGCCAGAAGCTAGTCGAGGTATGCACCTGCGCTTTGAAATGTCTTTGTGTTCTCAGATGGCTTTGTATTGCCGTGCGTTGTTGCGTCTAGAAAAGCAGGCAGTACTGACTCAGTACGCTACATTTCCAATTAACGCAACACGTCGTTGAAAAATATCGGCTGTGTTAGAAGTAGCCGTGTCACCAGCTGATTATAAATGCGATATGTAGCCTGATTCTTTTTAAACCAGCCAAATCACAGCATACATTTCATCTTGTGTGTTCTCATTTGACGCTTATGATCCGCTTCATGCTTTCAAGAGGCAGTTAAAGCATTTGCTTGACTCTATCGACTAGGCGCTCTCACTGAAGCAAAGTTATACTTATTTGCGAGGTACTTGTTGCTCATCGCTTGCAATTTGTAATTTTGTTTGAGCCATTCGGAACGCACCTTAATGTTCATGGCATGGCGGCCTTTGTTTAATCTAGTTTTCAAGCAACCGTTGGTTGTGGTTAATTGCACGTGCATAGGAACGCAATCTGCATTTGTAAAAAAACTGAGAAGCTTGCTTTACCTTAGAAACAAAGTCCCTGTACATCTATTGCAATGCCACAAAATCGCGAGCTTGGCTCATTGGAACACTATTTGTAATAGGAGTAAAACTCAAAGGGGCCCTGAAACACTTTTTTCAGCGCGGTCGGGAACGCTGCCAATCAATGGTCGAAACTCCTGAAAGCATGTGAGCCAAACTTTATAGCGTATGTTTGTGTTAGACGGCAGCACATTCAATGGTTCACATTCCCGTCAACTCGTCGTTGGTGTGTATTACTTTTCACAGCAAAACCTGTTATGAAATTACAACAAGCGGACCAGCTAAGCTGACTCCGTCAATGAAACCACTGCTGGCACATCAGTATCCCAGACACTGCGTTTAAAACCTCTCCTTCAACAAAAGCTCAGGGCTCATTCGCAAAGCATATGGGATAAGCCCACACAAAATAAACTGCACATTTTTAAGCTACAAATTAGTCTTTGGCCGCCAGTATCAAAATCTCGTCGCACTGTAGTTACACTTACAAGGCTAAAGACAACATTACACTCGTACCTTTTGTCTGGTTGCAATCCTCTGTGTGACATATGTGGTGAAGCCCTGACCGTGCTTCACATTTTAATACCATGTAATGAATTAGACACGCTAAGAAAACAACGCTTTCTGTTGCTCTACTGACAGCAGATACCCTTTCATCCGTCAGTGTTGATCGGTAGAGAACCACTTTCCACACATAAATCATTTCTGGCATTTTCAACAGACGTGCGTACTTTTCATGCCATATACCCAGGTGCTCCGTAGCACGACCTCTGGAGAGAGGTCACTGCTGCCGTGGCTACATTCCCACCATGGTTTTGTCATCACAACCTTTCGCCATTCACTCTCACGGCACATATTTTTTTACTATGTTTTTACCTGCATTAGCCCGAGGAATTTTAAGGCCCTCATACAGCCACCTACCATGAGCATTGTTTGCATCGCTTGTCTCATGGCCTGGTGCTCTTTGGCCATCAAGCGGCCCTTGCGCCACAAAACACCACACATCATCATGAAATTACTACAGTGGCCGTTTTTGGCACTGTATTTGTCCGCCGCCGCTGGTATCCGTCATTGCTATTGCGTGAAACAAGAAAAAAAATATAATAAATATCTAGAATGTAACGGGGCCTGAACTTGGGCTTTCTTTATGGCAGTCCAGCATTCTACCCCAGAACTATGCCACTGCTTGAAACTCGTTCGCAAAAAGACTCTATGCAGGCTTCATGACAAGGAAAAAAACCACATTAATGTATGTGATACTGCATGCTAGAAGAGTAAAATAACAACTGGGTATCATATAACGCAAACTGCATAACAAACGGGTCGTTGAACGAATTATAAAAGGACAAGCCATAATTTTGCGTCATCGGCTACCACATCAACAGTGTGCCCATGACGCCTCCCATATGTCGTAACACTTTTCTGTGGATTGATTAATATTAGTATATTATATACTTCTATACTTCGTAAAACATGATCATTTATGATGTGGGGGTTACTTTGCAAGTTTACTTATTAATTGCCAAGGAAGCCCATGAGGTCATCAAGATCCATTTTCTCGGGACCTCAATGAAGTTCTCACTCCCTCATTAATGTATGTAATTAAGTGTGGTAGTAAAGTAATATAACAATCACACGTCACACAATGCAATTCACGCAACTATTGGGTCGTTTAAACCTTTCAACTTATAACAAAGGGGCTTAGCCATAACTCCTAGTCATCAGCCACCGAATCGACAGAGTGTACTATCTGAAATGAAACCCGAACAGCGGCACGCGTTCGCGATGGTATAGTGCGCATCATCCAGTTATCACGATTGACAGGCGCGCACTTCTTGTTCGGCAGCTCTGCGCGTATATGTGGCCCTGTCAATGGTCACAAGTGGACGGCGCGCACTATACGAAGGCTCGTGGCTGTTTGGGTTTCGTTTGATGCTGATAGTACATAATGTCTTGCAGATGTGTAGGGGGCAGCTGGCTTCTCCACAGAATGCCAAATGGTGTTGTGGATACCTTGCAAGTCTACTGATATTGGTCACCTTGGGAGAGTTCACAACGGGATCAAGAAAGGCTGCTCTTCCAGCTTTCGCTGTGACTGTGCTGCACTTTCCACATAGACTTGGTGTTCTGTTTTTATTTATTTATTTATTCCAACTTTATTGCACATCAACATTGTAAAATTTTTTTTGATGTATTAACAGGAAATATAACGAAGACTCTTTGGTAGATGGTGGCTATTAGTCACATGCATGTTTTTTTTTTGCATGCTGTTTTTGTTTTGTTTTTCTTTCTATTCATTAGTTAAGGAGACAATACAAGCCTGTTGACTGGACGTGTGTTGTCGTGCATGGAACAGCATGACCGACGACGACACGTGCACCAACACGGCTTTGTGCGCCTGCACGTACTACTACTGCCAGTCTCGCGAATTATTTCCGCTGTAAGGTGCTCATGCTGCATGGGGTCGATGCTCGCTGAATGTAGTTAAAGATGCTCGACGCTATGCACTTTCCGGGCTGTCAAAATAAATCTATAGACCTTATTGCAGCTTACAAACCCAGGTCCTGGACGGCTTCCGGTTTTGTGCTTTGTTGCACGCTAGTAGCATTGGTGGCGACCAAAAGCCTTAGCAAGTAGCCCACTCCTGTTCAAACGCTTCCCTCTCTGTGACTGGCCATATATTTCGAATATATATTTTTTCAGGGCTACACACAACTTAATAAGAGATAGCTCTTTACTTTAGTTGCCTTCTTATTATCTGAAACCGGAAAAAGTGTTTTTCTTACTCTGCCACAACATGAAAAACAATCTTTCTGCTTCAGTATTAGAGGGCGATAACTGATGCGATTAAGTTTCTTGGGAGGCAACGCGTGCTTCTGCTATTGCAATGTTGAAACCGAGGGAAAGGGTGAACACGTAGTTGGCCACTATTGTGCGCCTCATAGCGATATAAAGAATTTGGCGACATGGAATCTGTAATATAAATTTCAGTTGGTTTCTCCATTTTTAGAGATTTGGCTACAAGCACCTGTCTGCGGGAGACCTTCTGCGGGAGGAGAAAGGCACCCCGGGCTCCCAGTTTGGCGAGGTCATTGACCACCACATTCGCAATGGTACCATCGTGCCCGTGGAGATAACGTGCCGCCTGCTGGATCGGGTACGTTGAACTGCACTCTGATCACATTTGTTTTTGTGTGATACCCAGCTTATGTGTGCCAGTTGCACTGTATTTTTTTTTTTTTTTGCTCTTCTTGGAAGCACCTCGCAAGATTACAAAATGTGTGAGGTGCATCTGCTCGTACAGAGAAGGAGCTTAATAGAGAAGCAACGAGCATAGAGGAATTGATATTGGCGTCAAAGTGATATGTGCATTTGGTGTGAAGTTCGAGATTTCGAAGCATCTTTTATTTTCCGAATTGTGGCCATGTTAGTGTGAAAAAAATTTCCAAGGCTTGTCATCTTAGCGTCTGGTACCTGTAACTGGCGATGTGGTTGACAGGGGTGTAGCCATAAGTTTTTCTTTTTTGGAGTTATAAAAAAATATTCGGGAGAAGGGGATCAGACAATTGTGAGAATTTTACAGCACCAGTGCCTGAAGTTTATTTCTTCCTCTCTTTTTCTCGATTGCCAAGCATACTCTCAAGGCAATAGTGGTGTCTCCGGTACTGTGGAAGCATAATTCGTCTAATACAAGTTCATTCATTCCTTTAAATGGTGCCATGCAACACTTTTTTGGGTAACCATCAAGTGGCTTCATTAGAAGAGTTTGCCGTCCCATGAATTGACAAGCGCAGAAATTTTCAGAATCCTTCAAGTACAACCAGTGGTAGAGATTTCTTGCGCACTATGATTGCTTTTTCCTCTCGCCCCTCTAAAAATGCTGGAAGTCAAGCATAGAGGGATGGCACGAAGGAAAGAAGTGAGGTCATGCACGTGTCGTGACCTTTGGCTCTTTCTTTATTTTGGATGAGTGGCTTGCTTTCGGTGTGATTGTGAGTGAATTAATTGTTAATTCAATTGCGGGCATGCTGGACTATAATGTTTAGCTCACGTGTACTATGAAGCCTCGATTACCATCAGCAGTGTTTTCTGACCATGGTGAAAAAGTGTTGCAGTGCGCCTTTAATGGCTGGTTTCATCCCGGCCTCGGTGAGTTGGGACCTAAAGTTTCAGCAAAATTTTCCTGGTTGTACAAAGCTCAGCAAACGGCAAGAAAGAGTTGAATGCTCATTAGCCTATCCAACACAGGCAATGCAGTCGAGTGGGAAAAGTCACTTCCTCATCGACGGCTTTCCACGCAACAAGGACAACCTGGACGGCTGGAACCGAGAGATGTCAGACCGCGTCAACCTGCAGTTCATCCTCTTTCTCGAGTGCCCTGAAGAGGTGAGGACGTTCTCGTCTGCGGTTTCACACTGCCTTGTTTGTATCAATACAGGAATGACGCTGTAAATGCGTGTACTGGCTTAAAGAATGTCGGTAAGTGGGTTGGAAAAATTGATGTCATCAGCGCTCGCACGAAGTGCTCACATGGTATTGCTTGCACCTCAGGGAAACAAACATCTCGGTGAATCGGTACCAGCTATTCAAGGACACCTTGCAACAACAGTCGTAATGCTCAGCAAAGGGGTGTGGGGAAGGTCCACAGTGATTGAGGTTTTATTGCTGCATTGAATGCTACAAGAAAGATAGTAGACGCACTGCTTGGACTTGCGTTTCTCATCTCTGTAATTTCAAATTAATAGATTTGTCATTGAAATCAACCTACTTGCCCAAAAATATGTAATCATGGAGCCCTGTACTTTTGCCTCCTGCAATTTTCTTGTGTAGTTCTTGTGTCTCCAAAAAATCGTCATCATCAGCCTGACTACGCCCACTGCAATGCACAGGCCTCTCTCACATTCCGCCAATACACCCGGTCTTGTGCTTTCTGCTGCCACGTTAAGCCTGCAAACTGTTTAATCTCACCGGCTCACCTACCTTTATCTCACACTCGTGCGCTCGCCTTCACTGGAAATCCAGTCGGTTACTGTTAATGACCACTGGTTATCCTGCCCATGTGCTAGGTGCCCAGCCCATGTCCATTTCCTCATCTTGATATCAACTATGATATTCTTAACTCTCGTTTTTTCCCGACCCACTCTGCTCTCTTGCTGTCTCTTAAGGTTACACCTGTCATTTTCCTTTCCGTCGTTTGCTGCGTCCTCAATTTAAGCTGAACCCTTTTTGTAAAGCCTCCATGTTTCTGCTGCATAGGTAAGTACTGGCAAGATGCAGCTGTTATATACCTTTCTCTTGAGGGTTAGTGGTAGACTGCCATTCATGATCTGAGAATGCTTGCCAAATGTGATCCACCCCATCCTTGAGCTTCTGGTTACTTCATTCTCATGACTCAGCTCCGCGGTCCTAAGTAAACATCTGTCCTAAGTAGACATTCGTTCACAACTTCCAGAGTCTCGCCACTTATCGCAAAGCGCTGTTTTCTGCTGAGATGTTTAAAGTCCCTTGGAACGTGTTGGTCAGCACAGTGTCTCAGTAGGGCACAAAGTGGCATCAGTGTTTGCAGTAGTGCCACTTTACAGTGCAGTTATCTAGTCACGAGAGGGAGAAGGGCTCGGTGTCATCTCTGCGGCTTGGAATTGACGTTGTCCACAGTTCATGTAGCATACTCTGTGATGAGCTCTTATAACACTTCTGACTCTTGCAAGAGCTGTATGGATTGCCTGGCTTGCCTCTTTAGTGGTGGAACTGGTTCTTGCAAAGATTGAACAATTGCCAAATTGACTGTTGTGTTTCATCTGGGCATGCAACCGCACATCAAGTTTTGAAAAATAATGTGTGGTCCTTCAAAGCCGGAAGTAAATGCAAACATTCTCGCAGGTCTGCGTGCAGCGGTGCCTCAACAGAGGCAAGGCGGGCAGTGGCCGCACAGACGACAACATCGAGAGCCTCCGCAAGAGGTAGGCACGTTGGATAAATTTTTTTTCTCTGCAAACTGCTGCATGCAGTGCGTCTATCTTGGTTCCTTTCTGTTGTATGTACTTGTCTGTGTCATTGCCTATTTTTTCATAGTTTTTGACTTGAACAGTTTGCTTCAGGCAAGCTCTTGAAGTGAAGGATTTGGAAGTGAACAAAATTTCGCTCGTTGACGTTGCCGGTGGCGCCTGCAATGCAGTCCACAAACCAGTTGCTCTTGCGACGTTGGTCATGCAGCCTGTAAAGCCACTTGTGTTCTAACGTGCAGGTTTAAGACCTACGCGAACGACACACTTCCGATTGTGGAGTACTATGACAAGCAGAACTTGGTCAGGCGGGCTGACACCAGCTGCAACGATCCCGATGAGGTAGGTGCTCCACATTTTTGTTCATGAGAGCGCAAAACAGTGCATGCAATGCTTGCGATTTTACTTTACTATCTGGCTGAGTTGCTTTCTTTTTTTTTTTCCAACTTATAGAAAGAGCTCACTCAATATTCAACGCATCTTTTGGAGCCTTGTTTTTCTCACCTTTCATTCTTCAAGCTGCGGAATGAAAGCTCTTATCTGCCACTTCATTGTCTGTCTGATGTAATAGATGTGATGAGAATAATTGGTTTGTATTTTGGCAAATGCTCTATGTAATCAGGGTTTGTAGCAGTACTTGAAACCCTTGAAAACCTTTGAATTTTGAAATGGTAACTTTAAGGCCTTGAAAACTTTTAAATTTGTTTAAGGTCCTTAAAAATTCTTGAATTTCATCAATCGAAGTTCCTTAAGCCATAATTTAGTGAATTTCTTTTTGTGTGTGCCTGGTTCTTACGTGCTCTCAAGCCAACAAACCATCCAATCGAATCCGTTTTTCTAGCCATAGTGCAGTGTTATTGTACAGTGTACTCTTCTAGTACACTGTAGTTGTGGTAGCGCTTGCGTGGTTACAGCAGCAGCGCAGCTAAGCCTGACTTTTTTGTGGAGACTGTGAAAGTGTGCACGGACATGCGCAGTCGCGTCGCTTATGGTGGAGCTATGCCGGGCAAGTGTAAATTCCAGCCGTTTTGGTCATGCAATATTGCTTATAGATTGTACTAGAACTCACATGAGGCAAAGTCTTCTCATGTAGGAAGAGCTTCGACGTGCCATCAGTGTGGGAGTCTGCCCTTAAAAGTCGCATGAAGAGTACGAAACACATAGAGAATACATAAGTAACTACAGTCCATGGTAACTTGAGTGCGTTCATGGTGCCAACCATACAAATAAAATAAAGTACAAATCTTTATGCTGTAAAAAGTAGTGTTGTCGTTTTCTGCGGCTTCAAGTGTTATTTTAGGTCCCTGAAAAATATTTTTTAGGTCCTTAAAAGTCCTTGAAAACCCTTGAATTTTGTTTCACTTAGGTGCTATGAACCCCGGTAACGCAGGTACATACAGGTCAAATGCACCGGCATTACTTTTAGGTTTGTATATATTGCACTGTCCATAGATTAACAAAAGAAATTGATTTCTAAGGCTTTGTTTTTCTCGTTAGGCACTACATTAACGAGAACTAACAGACAATCAAATGAAGTGGACTGGCAATGACACCAAGCCTAGCTCAATTGGTAGAGCATTGAACGCGTTATTCAAGGATGGTAGGTTCTGTCCCTGACGGTAGAAAGTTGTCATTTTGTTCTCTTTAATTTCTTCTCATTTTGAACGGAAGTACTACAGATAACTTCCCTCGGCTCGAATGTCTGCTCTCATAAATATGCTGTCCATGAACAGAATTTTGGTATTCTGAAGGCATCCTGGGCACTTGCCTATAAGTGTACGTTGAATTGCATTTTTCTTTGTTTCAGGTGTTCAAGACTGTTGCAGAGCATTTCGAACCTTACGAATCCACCAAGTGAAGACAACAGTCTTCGCTCGAGGCTTGACTTGTTCTCGCATTTCATAGTTGAGATTACTGTATATGATGTGCTCATTTTTTTTTTTAGCCTGTTTGGACGAATTTTTTCGCTCGCGTCAAGATAGAACTTGTTGAGGGCTATGCGGCAATTAACGACGTAGCATGGCATTTGCAGTGTTGTCCGCCTTTCTTAATCGTGTGCTTCTTTCTTCGTGTGGTTTACTCCTCCGTACGCTGCGTCGCACAATGGACCAATCGACTTTAGGACGTTTGCAAAAGGCGCCTTTTGCTGCACTGTCGAGGACGCCTTTTTTACTTGTATGCAGTAAAAACTAAGCGTCATTTTAGATGATTTGACCAATTATGGCAAATGCTGTCTGCAAATCGTGTCTTATTTCTGGCCTAGTCATAAGAGAAGCACCGGTAAATGTCGTCTTGTCCTTAAAGTGGTGCTGGCACAAATTTTGAAAGGGGAGCTTACTCTGCCACACATGTCTTCTGTATACAAGGACACCTGTGTGTAATGTGAAGCTCACCCGTAAATGCTGATATTACATTTTGGCAATAAAGTCCATTCCCGCTTGGCACACTCACTGGCATCCACCCTAGCGTGACATCAGGCTAATATGTCGATTCTGGTGACTTCATGCACCAATATCGCTAGTTGTGAAGTTGACTACGGCTAGTTGACGGGACGCTCCTGCATAGAAATAGAGCGCATCAGTATTCTTAGTCATGCTCTCATTGTGAAGAGTTCAGGCACCAAAACATTCAGTACAGCCGTTCGTACATAACAAGAAATAATAAAAATGGCCGCTTGTTTATCGCCAACGGAGTAGGGAATCGAGTGGTCGTAGAAACATGGCAGTGTCTTGCCCAAGCTCACAAGAATCTCATGTTTTGTAGTGAAGTGAGGGTACGGTAAGAACTGAAACTAGCTTTTAAAAACATGCCGTTATTCGATTTTTAGGGTGCCCTCATGCTTGCCATCACATTTTTTAAATTCTCGAGGGCTTGACCTTTCATTGGACGCAAAAATAAAAAACATTGTACCTCTTTAAGAGGGTGGTGAATTGTGCTAATTAGTAAGCCACAATACTTAGTGTCAAGCAAAAAGACAATGTGTGAGGTAGGCTATCACTCGTCTTTGTTTTATCTTGTTGCTTTTCACTTACTGCTGTAGTTCTTGCTAGTAATCGTAACATTTTGTCTGTTGTGCACACATTTGTTGATAATTCGATGTGATTGACGCCTTCAAACATATTGGCCGATGGCAGTGGTCAGAAATTTACTCCCCGGCGAGGCAGCGCCCGTTGCTTATGAAAATGCTCGTGTATGCGTGAAAAGAGGTGTCACAATGCTACCACAGTTGAACCTTTTTATAAGAGACATTCACCGGGTCGCAGTTCTTACAAAGAGGTTTGACTGTAGTTGTAATGGTATTATCCATTGGCAAATTCGGAGCACTTCCAGTAATACTTTTTTCTGCTCCATGTGGAACAAGTCTATTTCATTGGCAGATTGAGAGTGCTTCTTGTATTTTCCATTGACAGATCTGGAGCAGCTCCGCCGCGAAATTCACGGAGCTACTTTTTTCTGCTCCATGGAAAGCACCCCGTGCCTTGAAACGGGGCCAACTTTGGGTGCACCAACGAATGCCGTTCGCGTCGGAGCTCTCGTTTTGCTAGCGTAGTGTCACTTTGCGCAGCGTGCCCACTCAAGCAAGAAGAGAGACGCGCGTTGTGTTCCATTCTGACCCTGCCACTTGCTCCAGAGGGAACGCTTGCGTTCCATTGGTACATTCCCTCCTGCTGCCCTCTGCCAGAGTGGAGTGCTCCGGCCCAGAGTTTGTCGGCCACTCCGAATCTGCCAATCGATGACACCATAATTCATTCACTTTACTCTCAACTGAAGACAAGCATGGCATAAGATGAGGCATATGCACTCTGTTACATTATGAAAGGTTGTTCTCATCTATCTTTTATCTGACTAGATCAAGCTTTTTCCTTGCCCTTCTCTCTCACAGATTGTTATTAAATTTTACCTTCTGGGACAGGATGAAAGTGTGGTGGGATGCAGTTTGTGTGTCGGCGCAGCGAAATACAGTTAAACCTGTTTATAACGAACTTCCATATAACGAATTCCTGGATACAACAAAGTTTTTCTATTCCCCGCAATCGCTTCATAGGTGCACATGTATTTGCGACCTCTATGTGACAAGGTAACTGCAGCAGACAACCTTGATATAACGAATTTTTTCCCACGGACAATCTTGGAATTTCGCTCCGCATTTCGGCATTTTGGTACGAGCATACATCTTCCGCGGAAGCACGAAGCGGTGGCGGCATGCACGCGGGTCGCGTCCACGTGAGGCGGGCCTGCACCTTACGAGCTGGCATTGCCCCCTTTTTCGCCGCCGTAGTCGCATGCGCATGACCCCCACCCCCCCTCCCCAAACCAGAAAAAAAAACTTTTGCGCGTTGGCAGTGCCACGCTTTTTGTTAGCGTCACATATGTAAGGCCGCACTACATTTAGAGGGCGCTTTACCGAATAGTTTCCGCAGTAACCGCGTCCTTCGCTCTTCGTTTTCGACGCCGCGCGTGCACATGGTCTGTCCTTCAACGATTTTCAGCTTTGCTTTTTTTTTGTGATAGCAATTATGTATATGGGCAGTTTCGGCTGGGTTTTTGCTGCCGCCGCCTTCATTCACCGTATATGTATTGTATATGTATATGTACCTATATATATGGAAATTCAAGGAAGGGAAAAAAAAAAGCCAATTGCGCTCGGCGCTCAGCTCGTCACGATGTGCCGACAGGCGCTTATCTCCCACGTGTACTTTGCCTTCGCGGAGGGGGGAGAGGAGGTTAGCTGCTTGTGCGCGCACGCTTATCCTTCGGTGGGCAGAATTGCGCGTCTTCGACTTTGACCGGAACGATTGCGTTTGCTCTTTTGACAAAGTCCCTTCGCATTGAAACTGCACTGATACTCGCCGAGATAGCAAGCGCGCTAGCGATTGCGAGCGCCCTTAAAATTCAAGTTCATTATTGCTACTCAAGCGATTCCCCTCCCCCTCCCTACATTGTTTCATGCTCGTTTACGACAGGTGGTTTACTTTCTGTTTGAACATTCGATGGCAGTTCTAACACGCAGGAAATGTTATGCCCTTTCCGGGCGGTAGGGATGGGTTGACTCATTTGATTTCTGCTTCAGCAGCGTTCGCGCGCCTTTACCTGCTTGTGAAAGTGACAATGCGTGAGGGCATGTTGTCAATTTAGACTTGTTGCGGAACATGGCGGTGACAGCAAGAACCCACCGAGAGTGTCCATATAATTGCTATCACAATAATAACACAGATTTTTACTGTAAAATGAGTGTTTAGGGTTAGTTCTGCCTTCAGTCCCCCTTTTGTTTAGTTTGCGAGTTTATTTTTCGGAATTTAGTGTCGAACCTGCATAAAACGAAAGCCTCTTTTTCCGGGAATTCATCAATTTTGCTATATCCAGGTTTAACTGCATTCAGCTTTTTGAACCGGTGTTTAGTCTGGCATGATATAGCAAATGTTGTGTCGTGAAGACAATTGTGTAGTGTGGCTACCCTACCGCTATTTTCTCGGCGCTGAAATTTTAGCGACTCTTGTGACTCTTGGATACAGCCTTTTAATGCCAGGTTTGCTACTGCACAGCTTTTTCCTTTCTTTTAGCACATAGTGCCAAAGCAAGGTCATTGACATCTGCGTGTACCGAAAGGCATTGCTACAAAGCCTGGCTTGTCACCATAGCTGTAACTCAAGTGGCTATTTTATTACACACTGTATTACTGTATTTTTCATAAACTCTACTGTATTGTTTAGATGACCTCATAACTAGGCCAAAAAGCAGTGCTTTTGAAGATCATCGGCATCAGTCTGGCATCCAACGTGCTCTGCACTCCAAGAGAGCCTCACGTGTCTGTAACGAGCTGCGATTCAGGCACTGCCTGCATAACGCACCTAACCGTGATGCTTTGGAATCGATTTTTTTTTTTTTTTTCATTTGTTTGTGTGTGCTGGCAAGGTGCCACTATACTTTCATAACATAGATGTGTGTAGTTCTCATAGTTTTTTTATTTTTCTTATGACCATAGTAGGGCAATACCTGGCCAGTGTTTAATGTTATCGCAGCTATTTTTTATAGCACATAGCCCAAGTGAGAGAAGCGTGGCACTGCTGCACAGGCTTTCCGAAAAATGCATTTTGGGATTTTCACACTCGTGGTAGAAAGTATGAGGCATGAATTGTGTAACCAGTATTACTTGGTTTACGTTGCGATTTGTATGTGCTGTAGATTGTACCATTGCGTATGGATTGTACAATAAATGTATTGTGTGTACACCGAGGTTTTGCCGAGTGAAGTGTACATCTTGCTTGTGGGCAATGCACCGTAGTACCACCTTTGTGAAGTTGCCGCCCAGATAAACAAGTCCACTTATTGAGATGCTGTCTCAGCGACAGTACCAGTTGAACAATTTTTCCTTACTGTTGAACACGTAATCGAACCATCGGAACTACTTCAAGAATATTGCCTTGTGTACTAACTATGAAATTAAAGGGCTCTAAAGAGATAAATAATTTATTTTGTATTAATAAATTTTTATTTCATAATACTAGAGTATCCATGCTTACCGTGAGAAGGCTCTCGGCAAGCGAGAAAAGGTGCAAAAAAAAGAGGTGTGTGGTGAAGCCACCTTTAAGTTGCTGTACCATGCACTGTGATGTTGTAGATTTTGACTGCATCTACCAGGCCCCACAGAGTTCGTAACCTGTAGAAATGAAGTATTGTCTTCCGAAGGGGGCAGGGACTTAAAATATAAGGTTTCGGATTATTTCGTTGAGCCAGTGTGGCCTACACATGAAAAAAGTATTCTAAGATCTTTGACTTCACGTTTGAAGATTGACGATGGTGAAATAACTATTTAAAATCCGGCGAATGAAAGGCCTGGTGCCCGCCTAGATGGCCGCTTGGAGCCGTTGCTCCTGCGCTGCCTCCAGGGCTTACTGGACGGCCCAAAGATGGTCCACTAGTTCCGAGCTTTGCAGTGCGGCCGACCACCGCCGCCGCAGATCTTCTGAAGAGACCGCTATATGATGTTGGTATATTGGACATCCCCTCGACATATGTCGAAGGGTGGCTCTAGCAGACTTGCATAGCTTGCATGTGTTTGGAGATTTTGGCATAAAATTCAAAAATGAAATGTTGACTTTTTCTCTTGTATAAATATGCTTATGATAGTGAAATTAAGGAAAATGTATTTTTCCAGAGTGTAGTTCACGAGCCCAAACTAGCTCATTGTGTCACTTTGGTGTCCCTTTAAATGTTTCTTTCCATTTGCCCTTTCAGCCAAGCTCTTGGTGTTTTTCTGTTCTCTACTGTACTCCTGGTGGGGAACTGAAGAACGCGAGGAGAACATGAAAGGACGAACGCTTTTGGTTGCTTTCTTTGCTCATAAAGGCAGCCTTTCCTCCACCTTTAGGCTAGGGGTGAGGGTTTACGCGCTAACTTTTCTTTTCCACCTATCTCGCTTCCTCCCTCCACGTCCGAATTTCTTTTGATTTGCTTTGAGTCATTGTGCGAGGAAGTTTTTTTTTTTCCCCGTCTCTTGTTTACCTGAATGCTCTCACTGACATAATAGTAATGTTCGTTAGTAATAATAATAATAAAAATGTTTATTGCGCAGAAAGCTCAGTCGTCGGTCGCTGGGAGAGTGTGTGTTAACAGGAGAGGCCTATTATGCGGTTCGTCTTGAGCAGATTTTTTTGCTTTGATTTTATGGGAAACCAAACAAACACTCCGGTGTTGTTTGTCCTAAGCAATAATTCATCTCAACAGAGTTCGTCATAAAAGGAGTTCACTGTAATATATGACGTATTAAAAATCCTTCCAGTGCATGGCGTTTATTTTTTTTTTCCTAAGTAGTTTCAATGAATATCGTTCTGTAGTACAACACCCGCTTGCTGAGTAAATGGTACGAGTTCTATCCTCATTCAGACCCAGAAATGTGTATTTAGTCTATTTTCATCTTTTATTATTTTTCAGTCATGGACAAGATGATGCTTCTTGCTCACAACCAACGACGCCAACGTCGGAATTTCTGAAAAACAAGCACTTTGAAGCTATCGCGTAATGGTACAACATCTGGCACAATTTTGTGCTTCTGCCACGCAATACTATTACATGCCCTTCCCCTACATGACACTCTTATTACTGTTTTTTCCGATGCAGTTTCAAGCAACAGCGTGGCTCTGTGGTAGAACGCCTGTTTGCCACGTAGACAGGATAGGTTCAATTCTCTCTCGAACCTAGGAATCATGATTTTTTTTGCACCTTCCTCAATTTTTTGCTCACAACCAACGACGCTGACAACAGAACTTCACCGAGACTAGCTCTTCAACGCTGTCGAGTTAGAACTGTTACAAAACACCGTTAAATCAAGATATTTACAGTCAGCCAATTGCGAGAGGTCGCTGCACATGGAAAATACCAGTACATGTTGAGAGCAGTAGGTTCCACATTTGAACTTTCTTTAGGAAAAAATTGGCCCTGTATCTGCATGTAATCTGCAAATGTCGTCGAAAGACGATAGTCTTGCGTATAGAGAGAGTGAACAAAACATTTATTTGATGTCCTGCGCAAGAAAATCGGTGAATGATATTCCGGAGGCGCTGCGTTATAGTGCCTCGAGCGTGCAGCGGAGGCGAACAAGCGCATCAAGTCACGTCACACGTGAGATAAGCGCCATCTGACAGTTTTTTTTTTCTTGAAAAGAAAGCGCGTGGCCGTGTGCGCCCATCTCAGAGGTGATAAGGTGTAGAACGCGAGGTGACGGGTAGGTGTTACCACATCTCGTTTTAGCAAAGCGTTGGAAACACTCCCCCTTCCGTGCAAGCGTTGCATGGTAAGCGCAGCGTGATAAGCGCTATGGTTCTTAAAATTACTTATGTATGCGTTTTCTAGTAAGAGATGCATATGCACAATATATGCGTGTGGTTGTGGTGCCCCAGACATGCGCAATAACTGCTTTTAATTGAAAATTGCACAAGCATGAACACTCAACCTTGAGCAACATTGGTGGTCGCTGCGGATGGGGTCGGCCGTTTCAAGTACCCAATACCGGTAATGGTGGACAAACCGACAAATGTAGACAGACCTAAATTTTGCGTCGAAGGTCCGCAAGAAAGACAATCGTCTTTAATTAAAAAAAAAACACCAGGCCTGTGCGGAACGTGCAGCTCAGTCGTAGCGAAAGTTGGAAGAGTGGCCCTTCTGGAGCCTTTTTTAAAGGGCCAGTAAACAACCTGGAGGTCAGAAAATTTTAATGAAGAGAAATATGCGCACTTTTGCTATGTGAACATGCTGCCGCAAGAATTTTGACAATTCGTGCTATAATAAGATAGTTGCAGGGGTTAGAACATCCGTTTCAGCCAGTTTGACGCCTCGTTGTTCCTGTTCTGTTCCAAAACGCTTTATATTGCTTATATTAATGAGATTCATGACAAGAAGCCTGCCTAGCGTCAGCTTGCGACGAAGTTTCAAGCACCGGCATGGCTCAATGGTAGAATGCTGGGCTTGCACGCAGGGGGCCAGAGTTAAAATCCCATTGTGTGATTGGTGATTTTTAATTACTTTTAATATTTCGTGCTATAGTGGTTACGGACACAGGTGGTGGTGGACAGCTACAGCGCACGCGACCCATGTTGTGATCTCGTAACAGCCTTGCTGTAGAAGTATACAACTTCAAGAAGTCTGGTGTCATAAGCATTTTATTAAACCCATCAATTACACAATGAGTCCACTCCTTATTTACAGTTCATTAGCACAAGCACAATGGAGAGGGAGGGAGAGAAATGCATGCTCATTAAATAACTAAACACCTACATCAGAAATACTTTGCTAACAACGGAGGCACCATTGTGAAAAAAAGTCGTATTAAATTATCAAGCGAATGAGCAACTTCAAATCTGTAGAGTTCACAACAACACAGCTACTTGGTAGCGTTTAACTAGCTGCAGTTAAAACTGGCACAGCACGTGTGCTCATACTGTAATTGCAGCAAGTTCTCAAATGCAGTTCGCTTTGTGACATGTACATTCGGCTTGCATGAAGGTTACATATAACGATGTGAGGGGGACAGGCTGCACAACTGCTCACAGTTTCCCTGCTATCGAGTGGGCGTCATAAGTACAACTAATCGCAACACGCAGTACAGATCTCAAGCCAGCCAGGGTCTCGTACAAACATTCCTATGATGCATCTTGACTCTGCATGCGACTTTGTCACGCTGTACAAAGGAACAGATATCCCACGCTCAATATAATAGCATAACACAGCAAGTGTATCGCGAATCTACTGTCTTTTAGCTGCTAAAAGCACAATTTCTGGCTATGCTATGCATAAAGCAGTAGTTACATATTCTATGCAATGTTCGCCTGCCCCAGCAGCAGAAAGCTGGCGGGGCAGGATGGCGGTAGGGCAATTTTATTACACACTATGTACAGTGTGCACCATGAGTTCACACCAGCACACACACGCGGCAGCGCCACAGGTACGTCGTCCGTCTTCACCACATGTTGTAGTCGACCTCATCGTTGTCGAAGGCCAGGAAGAAACCCAAAATGGTGATGAACACGACGACGTTGCCCGCGAGCACCAGGCCGCAGGCACTCCACTGTATCTGCGCAAGTAATAGGCGTCTTCCTTTTAAGACGTATACAAAGTGCACAATTACACCTTTTTCCCGAAATAGAGCACATTGCCATTTAGTATGTGCTCTTTTTCAAACTTCCAACATAAGTCAGAGCCTCGAATAAACATTAAAGCAGTACTTTTAAAATTGCTTGGCTTATTACAAGCACAGTGCATTTATAAGCAATGTACCTTCTGCAATGATATCCTTATACAGATTGTGCTGCTCTGAAGTTTGTCTCTAATCTTCGCGTAACTGCGGTTCTATGCCATCTGTATCCATCATACAGTCAATAGAGTGGCTATATTAGGTCTATGGTATTTGTCATGCAAAACTACGGTGGTGGCATACCCTCCACCCTTAGGCATTGCGGACTGTGTTGCTCTGAAGTTTGTCTTGATTCTTAGCGTAACTGCGGTTCTGTGCCATTTGTATCCCTCCCCCATTAGGCCTTACGATTTTTTTTCCCCCTCGTTGGCCCCCCAGCCGCCTTAAATCTCCCCACCCTTCACTTCTTTGTTTTTGCTTCCGTCACCGTCGGCGACTTGGTCGCATATGCGAAAAAGCGCTTCCCTAAGTAAGTTGTAATGCGTATTGACACTGGCACGATGCTTGTGTTCACTGCCAACTTTTGTACACCAGCTTGCATGCCGTCTCGCCTCATTTTCCATGATCCATAAGCTTTCAGTTGCAATCAAGCCCAATTCAAATTGTATTTTGTTATGCTTATCTCTGCTACACAGTGCAAATTAATTCAGATCAAGTTTTGTGCAGATGTCAACCAAATTGTGATGGATTGTACTTGTATAGATACCGAATGGGCCTGATCATGATTAAAAATGACCGTGTAGCGGCACCTGATCTGGACCAGCGTTCGTGGCATCCAAAAGTGTACATGTAACAGTGGTATTAAAATTAGTAAAATAGCTCCTGGTTAGTGGTGATGCATTACTAATTACTATCTAAGACTGTGCTTTCCTAATGGATGAAGTTGTCTTGAGCACATGAGATATTCCTGAACCACACATCAGAATTTCTTACCATATGGTGGCATGACCTGCTACGATCACTGGATACGCAACAACAGATGCCACTTAGCAAAGAATGAGGAAGTGATGGTACACCAAACGAAACAAGAAGAGGCGGAGAGAAACAACGACTTCTAACTGCTGAACACATGATACTTGTTCACCTTTTTCTGCATTGTTCAGGGCCTTACTGATTTGTCTGTTCGTGCATGTGTGAGTCAGTTGATCCGCATACGTGAGCAGAATTCTGTTGCCCGCAAGTTCTAACCTGCTGCTACAGCAATGCATCATTATACATAAGTGTTAATTGGCCCTTGCCTAGCTCCTTGAACCGTACAATAACACATTGGGCAGGCTATACCAACATTACTAGGTTAGGTTGGGCTATACCACATACGCGTGCCCACAAATCAAGGCAATGGAGCACGCAACACCTAAAGGACAAGGCTCAAAGCTGCTACACATCGTAGTACAGCAAGCATATTGGGCCTGCCTTGACGCTACTCAAGAAGCACGCTCAAATCAACTCTACAAAGATTTTAGATTTGGCCCGCCACTGTGGCACAGTATTTGCTGTGCTTGAATGCTGACCCAAAGGACGTGGAGTCTATTTCAACTGGCGTAGTCATATTGCAGTCGGGTTAAAATGATAGATGCACGCGTACCGTGCAATTTCATAATCCCAGCCGGCTGACAATACCAGGAGCCCTCTGCTACAGCGTCTCTAGCTTGTGTCGCTGCCATAAATCAGTTTTGATTCATTCCGGCTGAGTTATCTTTACAGTTCGCTGATGTCATTCAATGAGTGCAATAAATATTTAGCACAACAGTGCATTACTTGTTCCTGAAGTGTCAAAAACAAATAACCATCATCGAAGTTGTCAGTCAATGCTTGGTGCTGTCCCTTCCTTTTTTGTCCCATTGTAGCGCTGTTTATCCGAAGTTCAGTATGTACACCAACAAGCCTGCACTTTATAAACAGTTTTTTAAAATAGAACTTTTTTCATCCATGCTCTGTAATTTTCCATTGGTGGGAAGACACCTGCAACACTGGCTACTGCAAGCAATGACAACGGCTTTGCTGGTGAATCTCGAAAACAAGAACCACATGCAGTTTATAGTAGGCTGGAATAGCTTTCGTTTAATAAGAAACGATTACTGTAATGGTAGTTTAGAGCTCGTATGGTGCCGTAGATTTATTACCGCATTCTCTCAAGCTTTGTTTATTTAGCCTGGAAAAGCACCGCAATCGAGCAGAAAAGATAGTGCGCTCCAGCAACACTGGTATGCCGGCGTTGTTGTGGTTCTTGTGAAACAAACTGAAGTTTCCACTCCTGCCAAATGTGCGACAAAATAAGATGAGACTTGCTTTACAGAAGAAAATGCCCTTGGTGTTTTTCAATAAGGTTAAGATGTTTTAGGCATTTTTCCCTTCTGAGTCGTGTCGGACGTTGTGCTCATGTTTCACCACAGCAGACACGCAAGCGAATGCAGCACCAGCACCCTGGGCCCCTTTCAATGCGTGAGAAAAAAAAAATGCAATCATGACTTTTTGATACCAGGAAATGCTACCAAAAGTGCATAAAATGCAAACCTAAGTTATACGTATTTATTTTCAAGCAAAATAAGCCTGCATGTGGGGTTTTTTGCTCCTGCCAACACCTTGAACCACAATGCCACTGAGTGACGCTAACAGCCATACTTTCACGACTTTTGGTGCCAAATTGAATATATAATACTTTTTTATGGGACAAAAGCACACTCATTTCTGCCAATGTGACAAAGAATTTTCACATTTCCATCTGAATATTTTTTATTGGTAGACAGTCTCTCTAGGGGCAAGCCCGCAGCACATTAAAGGGGTACTGACACAAAATTGTGCTATTGAGATGTTCTGCGGAGTCAATTCCCATGAACATTCGTATACCGTCTGCAAAATATCAACAGTGAATATAGGTTAGAATATCATTTAATTTGAAGTTTGCGCAAGCACTCGACTCCATCTTGCCATTGACACCCTCGAAGAAGACCCTTTGAGGACTGCCTACTTCCCTCCCGTCTCCATGCTCCAGTCAATAAAACAAGTTATGATGAAGTCATAGCCGCTATTTTTTTATTTATTTTTTTTGCTGCGTTCGTTCCCGCAGTCTATACTTCTTGGCAGCTGGTTGTGGCTGCATGGCCGTGGCGTACGCTTTGACAGTTTTGTGTTCAGTGACATTGCAGTTCTAGTGTCTTATTCGAAAGCAATTCTTTATTCGAACCGTGCGGACGTGTGTCACAGTTCTGTGTGCTGACGTGGCCAAGAGCTACACACGCTGGGTTGCAATAGTTGCACCCGGTTTTCGGAGCTCTCTCAAACCGGAACTGGTCGGCAATTAGGGGCCTGTAAATAATTATCTGTCGCGTGCTGCAGCAAACGATGTGTCGTGTTATGACTAAATGGCCCATAGCAACACATTGCAGCAGAAAAACGCTAGGCCGAAGCTTCTGTGTCAGTGCCCCTTTAACAGAAAAAAAAATAAAAATCAGCAGATCCTACACCTCAGTGGAATCAGGGTCATGTTATGCAGCCAGTAAGTAACTGTCTCAATAAAACTTGCTGCTGGATTGATTGATATGTGGGGTTTAACGTCCCAAAACCACCATATGATTATGAGAGACGCCGTAGTGGAGGGCTCCGGAAATTTCGAGCACCTGGGGTTCTTTAACGTGCACCCAAATCTCAGCACACGGGCCTACAACTTGCTGCTAGACAAGTTCGTTTATATTTGATAGGTAAGCATGGCTGCGCATTTGAAACACACGGACATGGCGGAGCGCAAACTTACAACTAATTACCACGAAAATAGTTAGTTGTAATTTTGCGCTCGTCCATGTCTGCCGTACCCTTGCGTTCCAAGTGCGCAACCATAGTTACTACACTACCAAGTCGCTAGGCTGAAAATAAAAAAGAAAGGCATCCCATACCACTGCGTGGGGTGCTGCAGGTGACCGTGCCAACACCAGGGGCAGGCCGAAGGCCGAGATGACGATGCCGGTGGTGATGAAATAGGCCAGCTCCTGGGCCGCGCTCGAGCTGGCCACGTCTTCCTTGTAGCGGCGTGCTATCAACGTGGGCAGCGGCGATAGCACGTAGAACAGCACCACGAAGAAGGGGTACCAATTGCTGCGCAGCACAAACGTTTCTGTATGTGTCAGTCTGGACTGGATGGGCTAGTTACTAAACCACAACTACACTAATGATGCTATGCACTCTGTGTGTGCGTGTAATCTCCCTCTGTCCGTTGTCGTGCCTCACACTTCAAATATGCCAAACTAACACGCCCAGTCTGCCATCCTTACACAGCACACAATCATGCATGCATAAAAATGACCCAAACACAGGTGCTGGAAGTAATGGTGAATCTGTCATAATTTCCAGTACTTGTGTCATATATATGCGAGCGTGATTGTATCGTTTGTGGGCTCCTTCAACAATAATAATGTCTGTGGTTTTACATTTCATAACTTTGATATGATTATGAGGGACACCGCAATGGAGGGCTCCGGAAATTCGGACCGTTTCGTGTTCTTTAACGGCCGCTGGCGTCGCACAGCACACAGGCCTCTACAATTCTGCCTCCAGCGAAAATGGACCGCCACAGCTGGTATTAAACCCACGACCTTTGGGTCAGCAGCCAAGCACTTTAACCACTGCTCCACCTAGGCTGACATGCTTCAAGAATAAGTTTGGCCCTGAAACAAGGTTACTTTCCCGACATAGTTGAGCTTCGATGCTAAAATTCGGTTCCGGGGTTGGTTAGCACGTTTACTTTTTGGCTTTAATATGATCATCCCTTAGTAACGAGTTTACGGATGAAATGGCAAGACAGCTGGCTTTGGAAATCAGGTGCTGATGAGCTGAAGACCCCGGTATGAATATAAACTTCGTCACAGCGAGAAATTCCGGATAATTTTCACCACACAGGTCTTTGTGACTCCTTCCCTACAGAGCCTTATCACCGTGAATGAGTCAACGATACCATAGTTTTTCGCACACAAGGTTGAGTTTCTCAACTCACCTGGGCTGTGGCAGGGCACATCCCAGCACCAATAGGGTCATGCCCACTGACCCCGAAAAGGCAAGGGCAACAAGTCTGCAAGAGAGAAAAGGCACACACCATACTTAATACAGTCATCTGAATGCAAGAGGGCAGTACTTGGGAAGTATGAAGGTCATGAAACAATCGCTTGATGTTTTTTTAGTCAGTCACAACAAGTTAGAACTTAGTAGCAGTATCGGCGTTACTTAGAGGTTAAGAACCACAGTTTGTTGGTGTTGTGTGCTGTATTCAGATTTGGCTTATAAAAAGTTTGTGTGAATACGAACCGATTCATAATATCTGTACCAGTGTATTGGCACTTTACCCCGATGAAAGAGAACGAGACGGCCTTAATTTTTTTCTTTGTCACTCTGAAATAAGTCGGTTGTTAAAGCAGATAACAGATGCTGTGCACAAACATCATAATGTAAATAAGAAGTCGATATCACGCGGCAGCAAAACAAGTCGTGCGTGTTCTGCGTCAAATTAGCAGTGCGTAACTTGCATCTAGACAGAAAACTGCGAATTCACGGTCATTGCTAAAGTACGATGTCAGTTCCCTGTCAAGTGCGAGTCTTAAAAAAAAAAAGAAGCCACTCGCGAAGAAAAGGTAATGTCGATGTCTTTCTTTCAGGCAGTTACAAGATTACGGGCTACAAGATAACAGAGTGCTCAGCAAAAGGTCGTTTTCCTGAGCGTCGAAATGCACCCCCTCCCCCTCTCTCTCACAACATATGCGCATTCACAAGGAACTACACCAACAGAATAAACCGATTACTCACGCTGTTGTTGGGGGCCGGGTGGAGTAGACCAAAGGAAGCGCATGAGGAGGAAGGAAGTTTTGAATTAGTAACACCATCGCATAAAAAATTGGCGTTTTTAGAGCACGACTTCTCATTGAAGAGGGTTCACCTGTCAAAGGACAACTCCAACACCGAGCTAGTTAAGGTAGCAGGACCAATGTAGACCGAGATTTTAATAAAACTGCACGCGAAACATGTAACACAAGCAAAACGGAGCTTACGAGGTGCATTCTGTTTCTTCCGAACACTTTGTCCCCAACTAAACATTTTTTTTTTTATTATTATTATTGATCCGCTCTATCGAAAGCATCAGAGCACGGACACGAATGTTAAGTTCTCGGGTTTATCCCAATGCGGAGTCGTCTCAAATCTTTCCGATCGGTAAGAACAGAACCATGACTCTGCGCATAAAGCGCTACACACTGCAGAGGGGGACAGTAATTACGTAAGATCGCGAAATCAAAGCGCTTCCCACTCACTCCTTACCTTTGATGCCCGCCATGTTGGTGGCTAAACTTCAATCAATGCTCCGCAGTTTGTAGTTTAAATGGAATACTTTTAAATAAATTTTTAAAATAAACTTGCTTTACATAAAAATTATATCTTAGATATATAAGTGGTCAACAATAAAAATAAATTATGTTTAAGTTTTGTTAAAGTGCGATTCTGTAATGTCGTGTCGTTTCGTTCATTGGCGTAGCTGGCATAGAGGGCCGTAGATCTCTGTCTGTGCTGGGCTTGGGGTGACAAAGCTTTGTTCGTCGTCCTCAAGCATCGGGAAAAGTCACAATGGCCGCGAAAAAGCAAGTATCCCCACGTTTTATTCGGCGCGAACGTTAGCCGGCAAGCTAAGGCCAGAGGCCTTTGGCGAATGATAGTTGCTCGGCTGTGTTAGGCTTAAATACCGGCTTCTATTTTCCGCTAGTCATCGTTGCCGTTCGTCAAGGTTGTCGGCGTTATTTCGTCGAATACGATCGTTAATGTTAGACGAAAAGCGGAAATGAGACTTTAGCGACCTTCGAAGACGCCCATTGTGACTTGTTTACTATTCTTTTTTGGATAAAGACCCGTGGGAATACAGTTCACCAGCTGACGCGCGCTAGGTGTATCGCTCTTTGATCAGTAAGAAATATTCAATTCTGTTCTTCGAAAATGCCGCATAAAGTTACGTCATAGGAGGTGCCTTTCGCGTGCGTATGTCCCTCGACTCCGCTTTAAATTTTGCAGTCCTCTTTCGTTCGGAATTTTTAGGCGTCATTCCCGACAATTGTTTACGTCAGCTGATATGGCGTCTCGAGCTACGAAAACGCGTGTTACACGGGTATGTCGTCAGAATCAATATCTTACGCCGACGAAATATCATCGGAAGCGTTAGTTGGCCACCCGGAAAGCGCCGGTGTGGTTTCTGTTGTCGCATTATCTCAATGTCATTGTCCTCCATTCGCGGGGCACAATGGGCAGCCGCGAGCCGTTATTTGTGGCTCGCCCTTCAACCCTGTTCGTGGCGAAACTGCGTCCCGCCTGTGGTATCTCTCGAGCTAGGCTACCATCTGTTTACTGCAGCATGACTTGTGAGAAAGCAGTAGCCATATTATTATGCGGCCACGCGGCCGACCTATTGCGAATAGAAACTATCCAGCCACCCGCAGCCATCCTTACATGTGGCGCGATGTACCGGTGAGCTGTCTGAACGCCCTGCAACACTGACTTTCTCTTTGTTTAGGTTAGGTCTGGTTTGTTTGAATCACGCAGGTTGTCTCATAGGCGTATGCAAGTTGCTACGGAGTCTACAATTCGAGGCTTTTAATTGGGTGGCTTCACGAAGTGTCTTGTCAAAAAGCATGAAGTAAAATCAAAATAAATGAACGACGACCTAAATTAAAAGGTTTAGAACGCCAAAATATGACGTTTTGGCTGCCGTACGCTAGCAGTGCTCATTCATTTCTTGCGAGGCTTTACGAGACGCATGACACAAGTTGGTGGTTAATTGGCTCTGTTAACGAATGTACCTTCCCACGGTAGCGTAATCAGATTTTTCTCCTCTTGGTAAATCACTCATTCACAACGCCAAAATCTACCCGCTTGCCGCGAGATAACGTGCGGATGGAAAACGCAGGGGGGGGGGGGGGGGTGACGCCACAACAATCCCCGTGACGTCATGGTATTTGACAGCGTCCACTGGGGCCTTACATAGTTTTAAACTGTTAAAAATTGCTGTCATCTGAGTGAGCTAGAGGCTCCTAATACCAAGTTTCAGGAAGTTTGATTGAGCCAAATTTGACAAGATGTGAAATACGCTGAGGTCTGTAGTAGTCACGCACAGATATTTTGGTGTGAACATTAAAAATGAAATTGATTTTCTCCTCTGTTGACAAACCTGTAAGGGTAAAAAAATGCCATGCGGTTTCTCGGGAGTAGCATTTGTGATCAGCACGAATGCATCGTTTCACTTGAGCGTCCCTTTAAAGGCTAGTTTTTTGCTATGCACCTAGTTAACAGTGGTAGTTGCAGAGTAACAGGGGTCCTCAGCCTTTGCAGCTTGCTGTACTATTTTTCCTGTCAATGGTTGCATCTACAAATGCCTGCCTTAGGATCAGTGTATCTCGCCTTTATACCAAAGGAAAATTGGTATATCTAAGTTCTTTTGGAATTCAATTTCTAGCATGTAGCTTCATTTCATTTGAACCCACATTCAAAAACCTTCATTGCTTAAACAGGACCCAACCTTTAAGGATAGTTTGATCAGTGGAACTGAGGGGGGTGGGGAGAAAGGGAAAACTGGTAAGAACAGACTGAATTTCTTGTCCTCTCCTTGTCACTTGCATTTTCAGTTCTGCTGGCCTTAGCAACAGCCATAAATCAACTAGCCCAGTTAAATACTATTTGTATGTGCTTGGTAGCAGTAGTGAGTACCAAATATAGTAGAATGCAAGGACACGTTTATTTGGCAATACACTTGCAAATAGTAGTAAACCATCATAGCAGCATGCTTCTAGGGCAAGAAAGCTGTGCTTACTGGCCACAGTGTTGTCAGCACATTTTTTTAGAGGTGCCTGTCAACGTTTTATTTTTGTAGCTTTAAAATTTTCAGTATTTATACTTTAATCTGCACACCTTTGTTTTGTCAATTACACTAGAAACGCAATTTTGTCAGTTATGCGACCTTGCTACACTTCGATGACACTTTTACTTGCTTCATACCTTTAAAGGCAAAGAACCAAGATCAAAATTAGTTGTGGTCTGTGCTATGCCCTTTCATATTGCAAGCTCTTTATAGTATAGTTTACTAAATTGAAATTTTCATCGCTCTGGACGACGTACAATGATTGGATGGACTTGACAAGCCATGTATTGTCATTTCTCATATCTGTGCCACCTAATTAATGACTGTGTTTTTATTTTGCAATATTTAAACTAGCTGTAGTGCTAAGCTGTGCAACAGTTTTTTTTTTTTTTTTAATAATGGGTACAAACATACATTGCATATCATAATCCACTGATTTACAGTGGTACACTAGCATCACATTGACTAAATAGCTTAATCCTGCCAGTGGTGCTATTGGTGCTGCTGAGAATCACATAGGGGAGAATTGTCAGACCGGGGATTCGCCTTAAGCCGTAGAGGTGCAGTGGTCACAGTGCTTGTCTGCTTGCTTTAAGGATGAAATTGATCAATGTTGTTGCAGTCTCATTTCAATGGTAAATGGAATGCTCAAAGCCCGTTAGCTCAAGTTTAGGTGCACATTATGGAACCCCAGGCAGCCAAGGTTTTCAGGGCCCTCGACTATGGTGTGCATTTTAGTCGTATAGTGGCTTTGGCACGTAACACCCAAACAATTGTTGTTACAGCAAGCTCGAGGCCTCAAGAAACTTTTGGGCTGACAAACTTATTGAAGTTGGAATGTACCGAGACCTTTTATCCATTGAAGGGACTGACAACTGTTTTTGTTTTTTTGTGCAATGGAGAGCTTATTTTTCGTAATGTTTGTAGCGGCCATAGTTAATCCCAAAAGCACTTAGTTATTTTATCTGAAAGGCTCTGAACATGGACGTGCCCTTTCGTCTAGCAACGCTGAGAATTGATTGCGATGCCGGTAGCCCTTCTAGCGACCTGTGCACGCTGTCGTTCTGCTTTTGCTGGAGTTCTTTAACTGTGCTTAACCACATTTATTCTGAGCTTTACAACTATTTTTGAAAATAACAAGCCGTTACAATGAGACGATGTAGCTTTATACAGCTTCTCTGTATTTGTGCCTCGTTGCCTGCACCCAATGTTGTTGCGCCTGTGCCGTGGATGGCTTGTCCTGTCGTCATTACTCTCTCGACGCATGAGCCAAGTCACTGAAAATGTCTCTGGGCATATGCGCAGCCGTGTCGACTAGCAGTGCACATTATTTCTGAGACAACTTGTTAATGGCAGAACTATGTTGCTCAAAAAATGTTAGCAACCCGGAAACTTCAGGCACTGTTTCATGAGCACACAGGGAAGTTATTAAAGACGCGCTGGCGAGCAAGGGATGATTATGTCATGCGAAGGCAGCGCCACTTTAATGCATACTTCTAACACAGGCATATATGTACATTTTTATGGAACAATATCTTTTACTTTAAAGAAGGGCAACCATATTTCAATACTAATGGGAAAATTGTTGACCGTGTACATTAGTTTACAATCACGTGGCAAGGCAGCTGGGATAATTGAAGTTTCCACCACCCGGTGGCACCACAGGCTATTCTCGTGATTTTCAATTAATAAAGGTACAACTCCACTTCTCACAAGAAAAATGACGTTAGAGTCGCTATAAGGGAGAATCTCCATCCGTACAGTCATCTGCAAGGATGGAAATATTCTGCAGTTGTTGGTCCCTTTAGGGTCTAAGTTTGAACATCTTTTAAAAATAACCTAAACATTAATGCTTATTTAATAACTTGGTAATGCCGTGTAAAAGTTGTATCCGGAAAACTTTGAATCTTGCCATGAATAGCTCAGCGGCTTTGGCATCGTACTGCTAAGTGTAAAATTACCAGCTCCATTCTCCCGCTGTGGCATATCTCATAGTTGTGCGATTTC